GCCATTGTAAGCCCAACCTCTTTTGTCAAAATGTATTTTAAACCTCATTGTAATACCATGGTACACTATTTGACTTCAAAGTGTATGATCTTTGTGGTGCAATTGAGTCAACAACTGACTCACACTGACTTTTGAATTCTCCATAAAATATATCTAAATCAACACAACTCAACAAAAAGTTACATGATATCAAACTCAAGTTAATCCTGTCCATATTACAATCATTAAGGTTTCTGTATGTTTTTGTGATATATTGTGCTACATATATATTGCAATTACTCAAATTGACTGTTATTAATAAATGATCAGTTAACTTCGTAACATTGCATGGGGTCATTTTCCTCATTCTGGCCATATTAGTGAAAAATATCCTACTAAAAATTCCCCTGAAACCCCATAACACCAACAAATGCTAATTTAGTATGCCATGGAAGTTAAGTGCCCATTGCAATCTCGTGAATAGTAATATCATACGGAAATTTCAAGCTTGTTTTGCTCCTGAAAGCGCCTATCAAATCACAAAAGAATAATTTTAATTAAGTTTTCCATAAGAGGTGCTCGAGTTGCACAAGACAATCGAAATTAATTTCATTTCATCCCCTCCGCTCGTCATGAATGTTGAAAGCGTCATGAATGGGCTGTCATTTAGTAACTTTAGAGGGGTGATTCTTCAGGCAATTGAAAGTGAACGTTTTGTTTTTTAGTTTCATATATTTTATATACGTTAAAACGAATAAAATGGCTGAGAACTTGAACAAAATTACCTGTAAAACATGAAACGAAAAGGGTAGCCAACTTAGGAGACTTTAATCTCCTAGTTCTTCATTTGAATTAAAAAAAACATGTCAAGTAACACGTTGTTAGAACCTCCCTCCCGCCCCTGTAACGCATCGTAACAGTTTACAAGACCCCCCTCCCCCCAAATTACGTTACGTAATACTTAAACGACCCCCAGGATGGTGGTTTGGAAGTGCGTGCAGGTATCTAGAGCGTCCGTTCCATGTTTCCAAATCACGAAGGTGTCATCCCACGTTAGAGCGCCCGTACACGAGCCACATTTTGCGGTGGGATCGACCACAGAATTGCAGTCGCTTTCCAGCGAACTCAAGTCGCCCATAGGAAATACTGTACTACACGTACACGGGCGTTCACAAAAGTCAAAACGGGCTTCTGCAGTCAACTTGCTGCTGATCTCCGCCGAGATATCATCGCGACATCCGCCGTACACTAACCACAAACTTGCAGTCGTACCAACCGCGTACACCGTGGTGTACTCTTTCTCATATTGGTCTCACAGCATTCAATTTTTGATGTCAGTTGTCTCAACTGCAAGTGTGGTTTATATGACCGCAAGTCGACCACAAAAATGTGGTTGGGTCAATCGCGAAGTGCAGTCAACGTGACCACAATATTGTGGTTGCCTCAACTGCAAATATGTGGTCCATGTACGGCCGGACTTACGTAGTCACAAGGTCGGTTTCAATTCAAAGGTTATGATTGTTTCCTCTTCAGAACGTTCCATGAAGTAGTTGGCAAGTGGACTTGTCATCGCCATGCCATCTAGTTGCTTGTAGAAGTTTCCCCTCCATTGAAAGTTACTCCCAGTGAGACATGCTCTGAAGAGTTCGAAGGTATCACTCGGAAACAAGTGGGCTAGCACCCTCAGAGAGTCTTTCAGTGGGACAAACAAGGACAACATCGAAGCCGACCAGAATGTCTGTCGGCTCCCCGTGGGTTGGGCAACCTATCGGGCGCGTCCCCAGGTGGCGGATAGGGGAACGACCAGGGGGCTGGAGGCCCTGTCCAGGAAGCCAGTGTGGCTTTACGGACGGGGTCGCCGGACTCCTGGTCAGTGGCAGAAATAAGTAGGGTGAGGGGAACTAAAACTCCCCAAAAGCCTTTGCAAAACATGCCACCGTGGACCAGCCGACTCAAGCTAAGGTGTAAGGAATCGTGCCGACAGCTGAATGGCCGCAGGGTGATATGCGGTTACGAACGATCCCCATGGGAAACCGGACGAAACCTCATTGTAATCAGTCTACCTCTGGTAATGCGGGGCTCTGCCAGAGGTGACCAACTCTTCCTTTGCTACTCGTGGGAACACACATGAATGAAACAAACACAAAAACAAAATCCAATCCCGAGGCTGAACATAAGTGCTTACCTCCATCTAAGGCAGTGGCTGGGGATGAACAGAAATGTCCATCCCAATCTACCGCTTGGAATGAGTCTGGACATAGATCACCTCTTGATGTAATACAAAGGCCAAGGCGTAAGCGCATTTGCGGCGCCGAGGCCAAAAGGAGAAAGATAGCGAAGGTGGCAGGAGTGGCAGCAACTATGCGTGCACCCTCCTCCTCCCCCACTCCACCTCCAACAGCGAGGGAACTTCCTGTGGCAGGCGCCAAGAGCTCCGCCTTGAATAAAGGCAAGGAACTAGCTGCCCCTGCAGAAAAGCTCCCTCACTTGTGCACCCCAACGGGGGGAACCCCAAGAAGGTTGAAAAAGCCGCGCAACGACAGTAATGTCGCTGCAGTTTCCAAAACCTTCACGAAGGCCGCCGTGAGACTCCTCAAAGTTGCCAAAGAGAGTGTGTGTTCGACCAGTCTTGGCCGAATATAAAGTAGCTGTCTCCTAGTGACCTGTCCACCTTCCTGTAAAGGACAGGATGTACGATGACCTAGGAGGACAACTCCTCGGGAGGATGTACAATGGGTCATACGTGATACAGATCTGTCGGCTTAAGGGTTAGGTCCTTAATTTTACCTACGAAGTCTGTCGAATCCTCAACGTAGGAGTTTTTTCCCACATGAGGCTGAAGGAGCGAAGCCAGATGCTTCGCCAGGTGGTGGGTCGACGAGCCTGGGGCACGTACTATTGGTCTCTGTGGCATGTTGGTTTTATATACCTTCGGAAGAATGTAGAGCCTGGGTGGAACGGCTCCACTGGTTGGAACCAATTTACCCAATCCAGATATGGGTATTAGCACACCAAACTACCCGAGTCAACAGAAATACGCTTTACGCAGCCGTAATATCCGGTCAACTGATGACTGGATATTACGGCAAACTTCTGAAGAAGGTAGCTACTTGTGCCAGCGAAACGTCAGAAAGAAGATCCGAAATGGACGGCCTTCAAACCCGAGAAATAATGACATTGTTAGGAGAATATTTTAGTGAATTAGCTATTGTGCAGATATTCGACATTCTGATTCTTCGCCCGCGTTTTCGTCAACTCACCTTTGGAAAATCCTACAGACGCGCATCTTCTTTCAATACAATCCACCCGAAACACAATAAACACCCACATCTCAGAAATGCATAGAATCGATCTACTACCACACGAAGCTTTATAAATATAGCATATCAATGAGCTTCTTATATCCTGCAATCCTGCTGTGTGACTGGGTGGATATACCCGAGTAATTCTGTTTGCGATGCGAGGATATCTGCCAATCTCTTCATGTAGATTACGTCCTGGATAGAGGGGTTATGAGCTTTTGTTCGGCGATTGATGTCTTGTACACGGTGTTATCACAAACAAATAATGTTTTCGTCAGATATTTTCGAGCTCTATATATTCGCGAGCATGTTTGTTAATGTGGAAAAAGGGGGAGAATTTGATGAAGTTTCCAGGAGAGCTGCAAGCTAACTTCAGATTTTCTTCTGTTTATTCAAACAGCTAGGAATATTGACCAGAAAGAACGAATGAACTAGAAATAATTGAATTGAAAGGGGATTTTTCGTATAATTCAATGTTCATGTAAAAGTAGTTGGTTCAAAAAGGTTGCATGATCTACACAACTTTCTTTTTTGAAAGTTTCCCACAATATTTTCGGAAAAGATGAAGAATTGAAAGCAAAAAAGATCTTTCCCAAATAGTATCCAATGATTTATCTTTATATGTCATGCCGTGACCTTCTACAGATAACATTCTCAATATATTAGCAATGAACTTTAGAATTGATGACTGATTCTAGGGCGGAGCTCCATACATGAGAGCAATACTCCAAAAAAGTCTGATCTGAGCTTAATAAACCATCAAAAGTTGCTGAGGTGTGTACAGTTTTCCAGTTCGGAATAGTGTTCCAAGCTTTTGAGAAACAGCCTTTGCAATTCCAGCGATATAATTGTGCCAAGACATATTGGTGTCCAGATCCTCATTGAGATATGCAACATCCTGCTGCCGGTGAAGATGTACATCCGCAGCCGATATCCTGGAATCCAAATGGAATAGACAAGTGTGCTGTCATCAACAAATCAATAAATTTGGTCTTTTTCCATAAGTCAATAAGTTTCAATAAGATCTAGCCCTAATTCGGGCAGACTGTGATGACCAGGCAACCAGAGTGCACCAAAATGTCACGTGGTGTCCTGTCACCCAGCAGTGAACCAATCAGAGTGTACCAAATTGTCACGTAGCAATCTCAAACTGTCACGTAGCTCGCCAGCTAATCAGAGCGCTCGCTTCTGCATCTCAGAACATCGTGGCGGGAGATTTGAATTTTCTGTGGACGTAAATGATTCAGGCAGACAGACGACCAGGCGTATTCCTCAACGAGACAGACGTTTCAAGGCTGAGGGCAATCTTGTATAGGGCAATGGAGTGTATTTGATGTTTATCGGAGATCTAGCCCTAATTCAGACAGACTGTGACGTCATCACACCAGTCAGGTTGCCTCTCAGCTCGCCCAGACAACCAGAGTCCACCAAATTGTCACGTGGTGTCCTGTCACCAAGCGGTGAACCAATCAGAGTGTAGCAAATTGTCACGTAGCAATTTCAAACTGTCACGCAGCTCTCCAGCTAATCAGAGCGCGCGCTTCTGCATCTCAGAACATCGTGGCGGGAGATTTGAATTTTCTTTTGTTTTGTTTTTTCTAACTTTCAAACACTTTCACCAAACCTTTGATTCTAATAGATGTCACCAACTGTCTAAATAATAAAAACATTCAGGTTACCTTTATATTTCAAACATATTCGAAACAATACAAATTCAACAAATCCTGATTTATTCGCTTAGAACTACTTCTGGGGACAAGGACAGCAACTTACAGGGTCATTCACGACAGCAGGAAAACACTTGTACTTAGCCTTGAAACTTGACCCACTTCCATTTTCTTTGCCATTCCCATTTTTATCCTTCCTAGAACTCAATAGCTTTCTCCCGAGGTGCTTTGCGTTGCAGAACTCGCTAGGACCGCAAGTAGGGGGGTTAGTTAGGCACTCTGGGGAGCCATGACATCCCGTTCTTTGACAGTCATCCTGCAAACCGTCTCGTTTCTCACAATCGCACCCTGTATAAAGAATGCTAGCGCGAAGCTCGCGGGATTTCGACTGTCTCACTCTATGCACTTCTTTGTCGCTGGTGGAGGTTTCTTCGGGTCTGGAGCTTCTTTGGCATACTTTGTAACAAACCTGGAGGTAAAATGATCAGTATTGGCTATTAATATGTCTAAAAAAATGCAGCCCAAAAACGAACAGGAAGATAAATCTGAGAAAAACAGAGAAGAAAAAAAAGGAGTTACAGAATATTCATGCAGAGTGGAAGAAGATAACCTCTCCAATAACTTCTATAGAAAAAATCAGTGCAAAAACATTTAGAGAATTAATCTTTCTATGATGACCATAAATTGACTGGCGTAATTTGAAGGAGTCGACAAAATGTTTGAAATTTTAGTTGAAGTGTTTGTTGTATTTCAAGTGAAATAAAGTTAAGTTTCATTATTCAGTGTAGTCAATTATTGGTGAACCCACGGGTAGAAACGTAACTGTTCCGTCTTCACCAGATTTTTTCTCATTTTTCACTCTGTGTATTTGTCTATTGATGATTTTCACTCAATTTGTAAATTAGTATTCAACGTTGCTGGCCAGCTAGAGTTGTATGATCCAACGAGTTCTTACGATCATCCTCCAGGAACCAGAAGTCTCTCGACAAGCCGCTACTAGAGCCGACATACACTCAGGTGAGAACCACAGCCACGTAATCTCTCTCGCTCCTTTTTTTGTGTTCCGAACAAAATTCTATTGGGAACTTCCTCAAATCATACAATCCTATGATATAACACAGTCCACTAATCTAATGAAGCTACAGTAACAATACTATGAAATACGTGGAATAACATTTATATTTTCAGCATGCTAATTTCAAGAAGATACCATTCCATCCCCTGTAATAAATCCAAATCAGAATTCAAAATCATAGAAAGCATGTTACCCCAAGGATCAGTCTTCGAACTATTTCTAATATAAATCATAAACGTATATGTTAATATATCTCCATAATCATGACTTTTTAATGTTTTCTAACCAATTATCCGTGGGTTTAATAAAACCTCCCAATGAAAGTTGCTGGACTCAAGATGGTAAATTATAATTATGGTCTTCTGCTTTTATTTTATAAGTATATTCGCCCAAACCAGGTGGATCATTTCTATGCTTTTTAGCAAAGTGTCCAGCAATATATTCTAAAGAGTCCTCTGTTATTTCTTTAAAGTCAACTGATTGCTTTTGCAAGTTGACATTGCACAAATACGGCCAGGCATTTTAACTAAAAATGACAAGGTTATTCAATGGTTAGACAATTATTGATATTACTTACAAAAATATTAATATTTCCAGTTCAAAAAACAAAAAAAAGTTCCACAATGGCAAAAAACAAACCTCAAAACGGAAGAAAATAACAAAGTCTTATATGGCGTCTACTCGTTTCACCAGTTTAAAAAATGTCCAGAAGCACAAAAAAATACGACTTTCACAATAACAAACTCAATGTTTCAGAAACCTAATTGGTAGGTATAGTTAGATACAAATTTAATCAAAATAAACAAAAACAATGTAATACTGTCCGAAAATAATCCTCAAAAAATATTAAAATAACACACAGTCTTATGGCAGCTACTAGAAGTATCACCAGTGTTACGTCACATCTGTTCGGAGCTTGTTCAACGTGGCAATATATGTAAGTGAGCAATCCTGTATATTCATAATCGTTACCTCTCACCAACAAACTGAACATGCTCGACGGCTGAAACGAATGTACCAACTGTCTTTTGTTACTCTGAGGTACCAACATAAAAAATAAAAAAAGTCGCTAATCGAGTGTACGTAGCCAGCGAAATTTGATATTCACCTTATTTTTTGAACAGTCCACGTATGTTATTAAAAATGACATCAATCAGTTGAAATTAATGATAATATCAGCGAATATAGCTAGTATTTTATAATGTTGTAACTGAAGGTACTGTTTTGAGCCCCCTTTCATTCAATATAGCTTAACCATTCATTAGATTCAAACTGTGAGGAAGAAATTCATTCGTTTGCAGATGACACGTTGATTCCACGCACTTCATCAAACTGGGATATATCAAAAGAATTAGCAGAGAAGCTATAAAGGCGACAAATTAACTGTACAAGAAGCCATACAAAAATTGAAACTCACCATAACCTCTGGTGGATTAGGAACAGACGCGGGTTTTGTTTGTTCCCCAATATATGTTATGTGCACAAATTTCAATAGCATTTGTGCCCATGGTGATTTATTCTTCACTAACCATTATAACATTATTAGAATTGCTAACGTATACTTGNGACCCCCCTTTCCATTTAATTTTGTTTTCCCAAATGGCGCCCAGTCGCCATCTTTTTTAGTCTGTTGAATGTTCTAATGTTTATTTTCAGATGAGCTACTTAACTCTTTTTTATTGAAAAACATACAAGTCGTTTGCCATTCAAAGTGATCCATCTGTGGGTCATCTTTAATTTCCCAATGGTATCCTTCAATGTGACATTTTTGACATATAACTATATTACTTTCGCCTGTAAAAATGAAACCAGCAGCAGCAAGTTTATCCTTCGGAAAATCAGACGTCCAATTATGGAATGTTTCAAAACTATCTTCATAAGTTTCAACTTTTTTTTCTTGTATTATTTGCATGCGTGCTTCGACTTTCATTCTTGTCTTATTAATATCAACTGACAGAGTCAAGCATTATGTTAGATTCCCATATTCTTCAATAATAGAATTTATTTCGTTTTGGTGACCTGAATGATCTGCAGCTACTGAGGATAATAGTAAACGTAATCTGTCGCAAAGTTCATTGGGATCATCCCATCTAATATAATTTATTTTATTACTATTTACTTCCATAAACATACCTTGTCCCGATATTCCAGTTATTGGAGCTATTAAATTTATTATAAAATTAGCTAGTATGTAAACAAATTACGACCCCAAAGGCCAAATCAATTTCCACTAAACTGCCAAATGCCTTACAAAGAATATCATCTGGGCGAGGCGTGGCTCGACTGGTCTTCATCGGACCACTTGTGTCCTTTTGGCAAAACACCCTCAAAGGGATTACCTATTATATTAATCCCCTTTAAGCACTTCTTCTTCTCCAACCCATTCTGGTCATTGTCCATCGGAACCAACAGGGTTGCTCAAGAAGTTACGTCATTCCATTGGCTTCTTTCTCAACCCTCAGGATATATTATTAAGGTCCTTTTGACATTTTTTTTTCGTCAACGACAACACCCTTCTGGTCATTGACGATATCCTCTACAAGAACTAACAAGGGTATCCAAGAACTTACCCTGAGAGAGGTATCAGTAATGAACGTTTGAAACTTTTTAGTTTAGAACATCGCAGAAAATGTGCGTCGCTCGTATTTTTATTCAAGTTAGTGAATGAGAGAGTTGACTGTCATAAAATTCTTGAACAAATTAACTTCAATGTACCACGGCCAGCTTCACGATCTCAGTCCATTTTTAGACCACTCAGAGCAAGAACTAACATTATGCTCCATTTCCCAATATATGTTATGTGCACAAATTTCAGTAGCATTTATGCCCATGGTGATTAATTCTTCACTAACCTTCATAACATTATTAGAATTGTTAACATGTACTTGAAGTAGGTAATTAGAATTAGTTTTTCTTTTTTGTTCATTTTATTTTTCGTTTATAGTTAAGTATTGTGAATAAAATTTTACATTGTCCTGTAAATGGGTAAACCAACTCAACAAATATCTATTAAATAAACGACATCTTTTATAACTAATGTAATTATTTATGTTCCAGGACTATATGTTTGAAATGTGTTTATCCGTTAACCAGTTGTCACCCTCTTATGAATGATAAGCCTCAGAAGTCTAACTTTGTACTAGTTTAGGATTAACGAGGTATCATCTTAGGTATAATGTTAGAACTTCTTACAAAACAAAAATTTCACTGAGATCCATACTCACCACACCGAAAAAAAACATTAAAAGTACACTCATAACAGCATATACTTGTGATAAAGTTTATATTGTTGAAACTCCGAGGTCATTGTAAGAATAAATATTGAAAATATTGACTATTATAATGAAATGTGTTAGTGTCACCGAAAGATCTTGTGAAGTTTCAAATAAACTGCTCAACAGGTGAGGTTAATTTAATATTGAAAAAATGGCAATGTCGCTATTCAAAGCGGAATATTAATTCAAAAATTCACTATCATTCGTCTGGATTATTAATGGTGTTTCTCTGTATCGAAGCTATTTTCAAATATCTCGTGGTAAATAGCTTTCACACAGATATATGTATATACTGTTATTTCGCAGTTTGCAACAACTCCTGGACTGCTACCGTATACCTTGTTCCTTATACTCTAAATAGTACTTTACTTTATTTTAAATTCTTTCCACTGAGTACTCAGTTGTTTTCAATATAATCATTGGTTACCTACTTTCTCATACTTCAACAACAGGCATTGAAAATCCGGAGCTAAATATAGCCGTTCCACATTGTTTTCATCATTTTCCACAATCGACCTCACACATTACGTCCTCGTTTCCCAATCCGAATTCCCATTACTTTTTTCTATATGGCCGTGTCCTAGTTCCACTCTACTTTCATCCTCTGTGTACTTACCCAAGCAAATCAATGACGACAAAAATCCGATAACGTTCAACATGATGGTACACTTTGATGGTCGTATGATGGTATACAGAGGCCGATTACGGGTGTCCCGAAAAAAAACTATTATGATTTAGATATTTTCATACGGTTGTGGAACACTTGCATGGGAAGAGATGATTATTTAGTTTCGGAATTGAGACTGAAGCAACATTTTTGCATCATTCAAATATGTGGAATTTTTGAATTGAAGACACGGTTTGATACTAATGCCAACTTCAATAATATTGAGGAGGTTATTCGTTATTTCAAATCACTGTAGGCTCTACGTTTATCGAAAGTTTATTAGGCATTGTTGACGCATTGATTATTAGATTTTTGAAAGACGTTTTTTAGATGTAGTTCATTTTGTCATTTTTGGATGAGTGTGAAATCCACATTGGTGTAATGCACAGGATCCGGTCGTAACAAATAATTAACTTAGTTAATACCAGAGGTATTGAAAGTAAATGATTTTAGAACTCTCTCAGTTATTTTTTCTATACAGGGCTTTTCATGCGTTAATTAGCCGTTCCTGACAAACTATTTAACGGATTAACCTGAAAATTTCACATTATGCATAAATCAATATGACCTACACGCCTAAAATATCTCAGACAAAGCGGCGTTGTCGCTTCTACTATAAAGTAGCGGCTTCTTTGATTTTTCAAATGGAACACCCCGTATATAATATCATATTATAATACTATACTATACATATACTATTTCCCTATACCAATCTATTACCGTTTAGAAAACTACTTCTTCAGGATCGACCTGAAAATTTCACAGTATGCATAAATCAATATGACCTACACGCCTAAAATACTTCAGACGAAGCGGCGTTGTCGCTTCTACTATAAAGTAGCGACTTCTTTGATTTTTCAAATGGAACACCCCGTATATAATATCATATTATGACTCATCATAACTTTGTCAACAAATTCGAATACTATTTCCCTATACCTATCTATTACCGTTTAGAAGATATAAATTAATTTCGATATTTTTTTACCAAACATGAACTTTTATAAATGCTGATAATCTTGAACTCTCTTGCACTAAAACGATCAAATTTGAAATGGAGTGGAGTGATACTAT